TTCTAGTGTATTGGTGGCTGTGCCAGGATTCCCACCACAGTTTGCTCTGAAACAGCCTGTCATTCATTGCTTTCTACTACTTCCCCTCCTCTCATGCTGTTGGCCCGAGCTGGGAGCATTACCAATCCATCTTCTGAAAATTTGTTTTGCATGCACAGAAGAACCGGTCATGCTCTAATGTACTATATTTACTCAGAAGCAGAACATAAAAACAAGAACATCAAATATTTCCCCACAGGTCTTCTTCAAGGGTGGGTGCCGAACAGCAAGCATTTGCTGCACTCTCATTACGGACTGATGATCCAGAAGAGATAATAACATCTTTGTTGATTTGTTAAATTAGTTCCTGCCATTTCATATCTTAAATTAATGTTGTAATGAGTGATCAAGGGGCATGTGTCTTTTTAAGTTCTTACCACCTCCATCTTAAAATTAACCATCACCCCCTGTCTCCTTGTCTTGCAGTGCTCAGTGCAAGTGACTGTGATGGGCTGTCAAACCACATCTAAAGTACTCTACCAAAGAATAATATCCACTCCTGACCTACTCTGAAGAAAAATATTTCATTCGATCAATGTCGCAGTCTCCCCCGCAGGGGAATTACTCTTGAACAATAGGTGAACCCTAAGAAAAGAGCAACACTGGACCATGTGATTCTTGACCTTCAAAGAAAGAACTCAGGTGCACTCCAGAAGATGTCAAATCGGATCTGAAGCAGCTCTCGAGAGGATCGCCCAGCTCATAATTCAAGCACTTTTTCATGTTTTGTTTTATCATTACTCAAACACCATGGGCCAAAAGTGACAGAACGCAGTTATTTTTGCTGGATCTTCATCTAATGAGGAGTACCAGACATCTCACCATGGATTTGAAGGAGATTTTCTTCACCAAAGAGCGACAGTGAGAAACATCAGAGTGGGGGGGGGGATTGGACACTGGAGGCTTGGAGGATTAGCTTGGAGTGCTGCTAACCCATGGTGGATCTGCTGTGAGTGGGGAAAGGGACTCAGCGGTGGAGGATGTCAGCAGAGGCCGAACTCCAGCCGGGTGTCAAAACCAGCCAGCGAAAGGAGTCCAGGAGGATCAAAGGTATGTTCTTACCTTTGCAACACCAGAGCGTCTGTAACATAGATGCTTGTAATATATCGGGCTTTATTATGTTTGTTTGTCAAATGAGATAAAGATCTGAGATTTAACGTTAAGGGAAAAGTACTCAAAAGACACAAAACGTGACATGACGAAATGGGAACCTGAAAGCTTTCTTATCTTCATCAGGTGGTGAACGTAACTTTTCACCTCTTGGTGAAACATCTTGGATAGAGTTAAATAACGCTGGGCTGCACGGAAAAGGCTCCACTCAGTCAGGTTTGTCGAGAGGCTCCCTGTCTCATCCCGGGGATCCAGATGTAGTAACAGCTATTCCATGTAGCCCCAGGCTTCGGTAGCGACGTGATTTAGGTGTCATGGACAGGGTAATTCGCACTCTGTCGCTTTGATGAACAGCATAAGTGAAGTAATAGGACGAGGCATTCTCAGAATGCTCACTGGGAGATTGAAATGGGATTGAAAAGGCTGAGAGGGGGGAGGAACGAGGAGATAGAGGGGCAGAGAGAGTGGGATTCACAGGGAGGGAGAGGAAAGTGAGAAAGAAAAGGATGCTTTCTCTTTCTTCCTCCCCCATCTTCATTTTGGCTTTTTTGTTCTCATTTCTCTGTCCACAAATAAAGCCACTCCCAACTAGTCCTGTAAATCTGGCTTCTGCGGGCTCGCTGTAACGAGGCCACGGGGCCGGGTCCTTTGCGGCTGTTTCATTGGCTCTGTTGACTTGCTCAGATAAATGGCCCGCTGGAGGAGGGCCCATCGATTTCAGTTAAGTGGAGGGGGGGAAGCAGAGTGAGGGGGCAGTTGCACACGTGGCCATGTGGCTTATTGGCGGGGACTATCAGCACAGGCTATCAGCCCCTGACTTTACCATGCTAATCACATGTGCTGCAGGGACTATTATCACAATCAGCAAACATGCTATTTAGATCCATATAAATGGAAATCAGGCAACATGAATACAAGCAGACTGTCAAGCAGCATGGTGACTTTGAGCCAGCTGGGGCAAGGTGAAGGGCACTATCAAGAATCAGGCTGATGACATACAGAGGAGGGGAGAATTATTGGCCACCATGTACATGTCATTTTTTAATAAGTATTTCCGAAGTGCTGTTAAACAGAGCAAGAAATTTTTAACACAGCTTGTCCAAACATCATGGTTTTATTTTGGATGCTTTCATTATTTAGTTTACACACAAACAGAATAAAACTACAGGTCAACAGGTCAAAATAATTAGCCCTCTTCATGCTAAAAGTCAGTTATGTGGCCTTCTCGCTGGATAACAACCTCCAGTCATTTGTTTTGTCTTTCATACGTCTCCTGATCATTTCCAGCCTATTCCTCTTTGGTGAATTTCTCTGAGTTGTCCAGATTTGATGGTCTTCTGCCACAGACTGTAGTCTTCAGTTTATCCTGCAGATTTATAAGTCAGAGCTTTGTGTTTTGGGTTGTTGTCACGTTAGAAGACAAAGTGATGACCCAGACCCAGTTTTGGTGCTGACTGCTGGAGGTTTTTTTTCAAAATCCTTACCTATCCTTTATTTTTTCAGTGCCTTTTTAGTGTGTGAGCAGACAGCCACATGCCAAATGGTTAGAACGCAGCGTTCCCTGTTTGAGTCTCCCCCATGGCCCTTATTTCCTATCTATCTCAATTTACTATTTTTTACTTTACTATCCAATAAAAAAAGGCCAAAATCAAAACTATTTATCCTTCTTTCTTTATGATTCCTTCCACCTTGACAAGTTTCCCAGTTCCTGATGCACTGAAGCTTACCCACAGCATTATACTTCCACCATCGTGTTTCAGTGTGAGGATAATGTTCTTTAGGTTTAACTGATCTCCCATCTTTCTCCGAGAGTCTCTGTGGCCAAAGATCTCTAGTTTCATCCCATCTGACCAAAGAACGTGCTCCCAGTATGCATAATCTCTCTCCAGGTTGTCCTTCCTGTAGTTGTTCTGGGTCTTTAGAAACATCTCTCTCAAGTTTTCTTTCCAGAGTCTTTGAAATATTTTGTTTCCTAGCTCTGTATATACTCTGTATCTGGAAAATAACACAGGGGGATAATAATATTGACCCTGGTTATTTTGGAGTTTTATCTGAAATAATTTTGTTATTGTGTGTAAATAGAAATAATGAATGCTTTCTAAAGAAATACTGTGTTGAAAATCCCTTGCTCTTTAAAAAAACACATGGGAAACATGGAAACCTTTGACAAAAACTTTTAATTTCATAGGGTGGCTAATAATTTAGATTTTATCTGTATATTGATTGATGCATTGTTTATATCCACGGGAATATGTAATGAAATTTCTGAGTTTAAAGCAGATGGCTGCAATTATTTCATGTTTCTTTCTTGCACAAAAGGTCACTTTAAAAGACAAGTTAAAAAAAAACACTACAAAAACATTAGAATACTGAATGAAGAATTCATTCATGGTGGTTTAGCATTTGTCCCACCTGTACAGCACCTGACCAGCGGCGAATGAAAAGAAGTAAATGAATCAACGATCATTCAATCAGCGGTGATTCAACAGAACCCAGTGTCCATGCAGTTCCATCAGTTAATGAGTCTGGTACCTAAATGTATTCTCATAACAACAAACAAAAGATAAACTTATTTGCCTTTTTTTCTATGAGTTAATTAAAAAGGGTTCTTTGTTTGTTGTTTTAATGAGCCTACTCATAAGGGCTATATACACTCACCAACCAGGTACACCTGTTCAGCTGCTCATTAACACAAATATCTGATTAGTCATTCACATGTAGGCAACTCAATGCATTTAAGCATGTAGACATGCGCAAAAAGACCTGCTGAAGTTCAAACTGACATCGGAATACAGAAGAAAGGTGAATTAAGTTACTTTCAGCGTGGCATGGTTATTGGTGCCAGACATGCTGATCTGAGAATTTCACAAAGTGCTTATCTCCTACTCAAACAACCGGCTGTACGGTTCACTGAGAAGGGACTGAAAAAGAGATGATATCTAGTGAGCAGCAGTTCTCTGTGTGAAAATGCTTTGATAATGTCAGAGGTCAGAAGAGAATGGCCAGACTGTTTCCAATAGGAAGGAGAAGCTAACTCAAATACTCACTTGTTACTACCAAGCTATGCAGAAGAGCATCTCTGAACAGAAGACCTCATCACATGTCGTGGGTTACAGTTTGTTCGGACTCAACAAAATTGGACAACAGAAGACTGGAAAATGTTGCCTGCTCTGATGAGTCTCAATTTTGGCTGCAACATTCAAATAGGCTCAGAATTGTGGGTAAAACATCATGTAAGCATGGATCCATCCTGCCTTGTATCAACGATTCTGGCTGGTGGTGGTGCAATAATGGTGTAGGAGAAATTTTTCCATGACACTCTGGGGCCCTTTGTGCCAGCTGAGCATTGTTTAAGCACCACGGCTTATCTGAGTGTTGTTGCTGACCATCTCTTTTTGACCACAGTGCACCCATCTTCTGATTGTTGCTTCCAGCAGGATGACCCGCCATGTCACAAAGCTTAGATCAAATTGGTTTCTCGAACATGACAATGAGTTCAATGTACTCAAATGGCCTCCAGATCTTGATCCAATATAGCACCTTTGGGGTGTGGTGGAAGGTGTGATTCACATCATGGATGTGCAGCAAACCTATCTGCAGCAACTGTGTGATTCTATCATGTCAATATGGACCAAAATCTCTGAGGAATGTTTCCAGCAACTTCACGAATAGCAAATAGTAATAGTTGTACCTAAAAAAGTTTGTGGTGAGTGTCTGTTTATGTTGATATTGGATAAAATATCTAATCCAGCTTCATTCTGGACCTGGAACCACAAGAGGGCATGACAGTGACAGCCTCATTTGTATTTACTGCTCCCCTTCTGCTTTCCCATTCCCATCAAGTTAAGCTTATTTGCAGACTGTTGGACAGATAGACAATGTCTTGCTTTCTTTTCAAGATTGTAAGTAGAACTTTAGAAGTGAATTTAATGAAAGGAAATGACAGAAAAGTAAAGTTTTGGTCAGTCAGAGCGAAAACTGCAAGCCATGGGCAGATAGACAGACAAAATATTGTGTTTTTAGTTAATGACCTTGATGATGTTGTTGTTTTTTAGCAGCTTTGAATTCATTTTATTATTTTTCCTCATCTAGCACCTATGTTCCAAGTGCAAGGACAGGTTTAATAGGCTGTTAGCTTTAACACTAGGTTTTAAAAAAAAGGAAAGAAAGAAATATTTTACTATGAAACAAGA